CCCCATTCCAAAGATAAGCCTCATGAATCCTCCCCTCCCGTTCCTTTCCCTTCCCATCCCGCCATCTACAAATATATGTACTATATAACTGCTATGATATCATAAAATGTTCAGGGTTTAGAGCAGCTGGTGGGTGTTTGTTGCCACCCAGTTGATTAGCGATTGCTGTCGATGATGTTGGTGGTGGCGACAAGCTCTTCTGTCTTTTTTTTTGTTCTGGTGTTTTTGGACCACATTTCCCAGCATTCCCGAGCTCATTGATCTTCATACAGTTTCCAATGGGGGCTCTTATTTTCCTACCCAGAGCTTCTCCATGAGATTATAGGATGCACCGGATTAACTCTAACCCAACAGTTAATTTGATCTATTTCTATCATGCTACGAGTCAGGCTGTTCTTGGTCCATTCAAATTAAGCAGATCTTGAGTTTTAAGAAAAAGAGTCCGCATTCTGGTGGGGAAATGTACACATTGCCTGAACTGTGCTATTGAGACTGAGTTGACCTAATGTCTGCTCAGAAAGCTATCTAGATTGTAATTACCCTAGCCAAGTTTTATTCAATGGGGAGGGTTTTCAAAGTTCCTCTGCAATCTTTACTAGCATATAATAAAACTACCCTAAACCACCAGGAAAAAATATAGACAAGCAGTATAAGTTCCTGAGAGTAGATATTTTTGTTCATCATGATCAATCAAGTATTGTAAAAGATATACAAGGATTACCAATAGCATCTGGGGCTTTCCAAACTAATGAACAGTCATTGATCTGAGCAACCTTGAGGCAATCAACTTAAAGTAGTACCAGCTGTAGTATAGACCATGACTAGACAATGGTGTTTCTCAAAAGCTTCATGTGCACTAGGAAAGGGAATAGTCCATCACAGGACTGACCAACACTAGAGAGCCTCCCCACCAATTCTAACTGGTTTTAAAACTGGTTTTGCTGACCTGGAAAAAAAGTGTCTGGAAGCCACAGAGTAGACCAGTCACCAGGTGACCTGAATCACTTTTAATACTGCAAAACTACTCAGATGTTGCTGTTTGAATCACTTGGAAGATTCACACCATCTTGGCGAACATTAGTGTAATCCTTGGGATCTCGTTATTTGAAAACAGAGAGCAAAAATATCTTGAACCAAGTGGTATTATAATCAGATCAGCAAAAAAAGGTATCAGCACCTGATTTAGGCCACGGTTCCAACCAGTTTGAAAACCAGTTAGAGTTTCGGGGAGAAATGTCCTCAGGCCTTGGGCGTCAGCTCTGAGTAGCATCCAACTGGTGAGGAATGCAGTCTCCCTGGAAAGCCAAGACCAAACTTGAATCACCTTTGCTGAAAGGTTTAAATTAGCATTTAAACTGATTCATCAAGATTTGTGTCTGTGACAAATTAGAACAGCACTGCCCAAATCCTGATGTTTTTACGCAATCTTTGGCCAAGGAAAAGCCTTGTTGGCTTTATTTGACACTGGATTGCTCTTACATTTTGTGCTTCGGAGGCCTGACCCTGAAGTGAGGGAAGGGCTGGGAGGCTGCGCAGGCAAAAAAACTTGGGGGGGCAAAACTGGAAAAGCCTTCAGCCTGCTTGTGGCTTTAAAAGAAAATGTGGGTGCCCTTGAATGGGGTAAAGAGGTGAGGGGGGAGGGGTTGTGGTTTTTTTTAATTGGACAGTCTGTTTCCCTTATAGGGAAGGAAATAACAAATGGGAAGAGAGGAGTATGGCTTGGAAGGGAACAAGAACTGAATTTGGTTGTTTCTGCCCCCCACCTCCTTCTGGGTTGGGTGGGGGAAGGAGTTTGTGTGTTGTTACTTTATTTCATTCCCATAAATCTTTTTTTTCTTTATTGTAAAACTCCCTGAGCCTTTTGGGGAAGAACAGTTTCTAAATCTAATAAACAGATAAATCTATACCTGGTGAACAGAGTCAAAATTCCCCAGGGAGTGCCTTGCATGTGTGAGGTCCTGTATGCTGAATGTTGCAGCTAGATCTCGGATTAGCCGAGAGACTCGTTAAAACTCTGGCAGTAGGACAGCTCTCTGTTGCTGTTGAAGAAAGTCAGGCTGAGCACAGAAGCGAGCGGTTTCAGCCCATAAATTACGGTCGTGCCTCCAAAGCCTTGGAGAGCTCATCCTTCCAGCAAGAGAAAAGCATCATTTAAAAGGTTCATTCCTGTATCAGCCTTTGCAGAGCTGAACTGTCCCATTGGCGGTCAAACCAGACTGTGCTTTTGTGCCAGACCTGCAGCCCCAAAAACTGGTGCAAGAAGAAAGAGGGGGTTCCCACTTTTATATAGAAAATCATTGGGGTTAGGATCATAAACCAACAGGCCAAAGGGAGGGAACAGGTAAGAGGTAAAGAAATATCAACAGTGTGGTAACATATACTCAGCACCTTAATTTCCCCCCCGCAAACCCCTGGAGGTGTCCTCAAACAAGCCCCTAGACCCTAGAGCTCTCAAACAGCAGCCTGCAGCTCTCCCCAAGTCCGAGTCCAGCTCCTGCAGCCCACAGCCCTGGCTGACCGAGCCAGCTCCCCTGTGCTCTCCTCTGACCATGCTGCTCTCTCGTCCCCTTACCCCACCCTCTTCCTATTCCTTTTTCCCTTGTCCCCCCGGACCATGGGGGTTTCCGAGAGTTGCAGTCCAAATTAGCAAGCATCACAGCTCTGCAGACTGCCCCCTGGTTCCACCTGCTGTTACACACATTACACTCACACGACACCTTGTTGTTGTCACTGGGTTCGTTAAACATGAATGAAAGGAATTACACCGCAACTTTTATTCTGGAGCAGTAAGCAACCCTGCAGACCTACACCTGTCTCCAACTAACTAACAGCTGCTACTTAACTAGCTAGCCGCTACCTGAGGGACCATCTCCCAATTTCCAACCCCTCAGTCTCCTGTTAGGGAGCATCTTTAAATGGTAACTTCTGTCACTATAAACCTGAGGGACCTTCTCTCACAGAGGTGACAGGTATATCTTTATTAGTTGCATCTCCAAACTATTGCCCACTAGTGCTGTGCACAGCAAAAGATGGATCCTGCCCCTGGAGGCCATCTACCCAAATCGGTTAGAGGGCCAGATTGGTTGATGCTGGCCAAAGGAGTTATAAATGGATCGCTACACCAGCAAGGCCCATTGCGCCCAGCTCTCCTGAGAGTTTAATTCCAGCCAGGAGGGGATTCTGGTGGAAGTCTTCTGACAACAGCTGGAGAGGGAATGCTCTCAATCAGCAAATCGATGACCGCATCCAACCAGCTCTACTTGACCTATGAGATCCATTGACTTCTCTCCAGCTTATTTTCACTGCTCCAGCCTCCCCATCAGGATTTCTGCTGGTGTGACTGTTGAACCAGGCTCCATGGATCCTAGGCTATTTAGCTCAGACAGAGGCTCTCAAGCCCCAGCTGTGCAAAGACAAAAAAGAGCTACCTCTCTCTTGACTGGGTTTCCCTGAAAGGTCTCATGGAGTCCATCAGGTTTAGGTTGGAGTTTGGATGTAAAGAGGATGGTTGTTAGAACTGGTCAAAAAATGAGGTGGTTTTCCTTTTAAAAAGGGACTTTTGTTGTTTTTTTAATGAAAATTTTAGGCTGAAAACTGGAAAAAAGTGACTTTGGGCTTTTTGAACACAAGTCAAATCTTTTTTTTTTTTTAAGGAAAGCAGATGCAGCCTCAAAAATGGATATGTCCTGAAAAACTCACTTCTCCAAGAAAAAACAGTTGCTAGATTTCCAGCCAGCCCTAATGTTTACCTAGCAGATAAGGAGTGTGTTCCCACAGTTGGGAGCAATGTGGATGAACCATAAAGATGTGAATGGACTTGGATCGGAAAGAAAAATTGAGGCCAATGGAAAAAATCATCAGAGGGTGTAGGAAGAGGCAGACACAGAGACAAAGTAGTAAAGCAATGCAGAGTCCCACAGGTGAGGGCTGGAAGCCTGGCCACCATGTAGAGCTCAGGGAGACATCAGCCAAAGGGTTTACATTGGGGCGTTGCTCTTAAGAGTGAAAAGGGTTTTCTCAGCAGAATTTTATAAGGATAAAACATGCAACAGTTCAGTAAGGAGGCAGCTGGAAGACCCCAACATAATCCAATAATTTAGAGATGCAGAGTTCAGTCCAGAAATCCCCCCCTAGTTGGTTGTGGGGGACAGGGATGGTTTAGTGATGGTTTGTTATTTTCTTATAAAATTATAGGGTTGGCAGGGATAAGGGTCATCCAGTAACTAATCAAACCCCCTCCCGAGATGCTGGACGTGTCATTTCCAAGTCAAAAGAGGTTTATCCAGCCTCTTTATGAAGGAGTTTCCACAACTCCCCTGAGCTGCTTTTCGTTTCTTTTTGCCTGCTTTTTGTAGCAGCACACATCTTCAGCCAGCCATCATCACTGGCCTGCTAGCAACCGGCCCTCGGTTAACCTACTCAGCTTTATTGGCAAGATAAGGGAGTTTGGATCCAAAACTAAGCTTCTCTGAGTCTAAGCTCGGGGTTTTGGTTCAAATTCATTTCTCTCTTCATTGAACTGTTGGAGCACACTCGCTGGTTTGTTACTTCCAGTGACAATGCTGGCTTGCAACACAACCTTTATCCTACCTAGCATTACGTGGAGGTGTGAGACTGCCATTCTGCTTTGTGCCAATATTTCACACCAAACGTGTATGAACCAGTGCACTTCACACAGAACCGCACCCAGCTGACTACCATCTTGCCAGCCTCTGCATGCAGTTCCAGGGCTTTACACTAAATTATTTGACTTTGTCTCACTGGAGGAGATCTTTCTGTGCTACATGTATTTCTAATGTCTCTGCTGATGCCTCTTTGCATGTTCTTATATGTGTAATTTGATTCCTTTTAAGAAAAATAACCCACTCCCATGTGGTAAGCCTCAGGCCATATCTCAGTTTATCCCTGACCATTGCTCCAGCATCCGTTAATGTTTGAGCAAGATCATAAAGCAGTTACATCATCATGTTACCTCTGACCAACTTTCAAGGGAAGTCTTTATAAAGCCAAGTGGTGGTTATCCATGAGCTGCTTTCTCTTGTGTTGGGAGCATAGGTAACATCTCCAAAATGAGCTTCACTGGAAAATATGAGCTCCAGTCCCAGGAAAATTTCGAGCCCTTCATGAAAGCCCTTGGTAAGTGCCAGATAACTGTAACTTTATTTATTATCTTGCTGTAGCTTCCATGGTTAGCCAAAATGATTCTGTTGTGTCCAGACATCAAGGACTTTCTTTTTCGTTTCTAATACTAATTTTACTGTCGTAAGTCTTTATATATTCATGTGCATTAATAGGCATCACTAACATAGCTGGAGAAATCAGATGTACAAGACTATGTGCATGGAAGAGTCTCTGTGATTTATGGTTCAAATTAGGGGGAAAATGGAGTGAAATTCTATGGCTTGTGGTAGGCAGGGGGGGTCAGACAATGTAACCACAAAGACCTCTGCTAGTCTTAAGACCCATGGACCAGATCCTCAACTGGGGTGACTTGCCACTGAAGACAGCGAAGCAAAGGTTATTTCATGCCAACTTAGCAGCTGTCCCCATGAGTCCATCTATGTGGACACTAGGCTAAGAGCATCTCAGCTGGTGCTCTTCATGTGGTATGGACCCTCAGATCCCATGGCTCCAGCAGAAGGCTGGCTTTAGGATGTCTGGGACTTTCCACCAGGGTTTCCTGGGGGCACATCACCTGTTCAATTCTCCATCCATTCCCTTCAGTTCTTCTCTCCTCTGATCTCCACTATCCCTTTACCTCCTCCTGCTCTTTTCTCTTCACTTTCTTTCAGCTCAGTCAGAGAATGAAGATGCTGCATCTTTTCTTTCCACTTGGATGTTTGGGGGAAGGCAGTGACTTTCTCCCTTTTCCTATCCAGCTGACAAGGGATAAGCCTCCATGTCCATGTATAAGTGTCCATGTATTATTTCCTTCCCCCTCCCCAACACACACACACACACACACACACACACACACACACAGCTTTGACTGTTTGCACTTCTGCTCCTGTGGTAATGTAGGAATTGTCCTTCACTTTGAAGTCACCCTGTAAACAGTCGAAGACTCCTCACTGGGGTGAATTTCATGAGCCTGCAGAGCTGGCTCCCTCCCTGGTAGTAATGTCCTTTGGGGTCTTTGTTAAGTCTGGGCTTTTGTTTCTGGTCAGGACTTCCTGAGGAACAGATTGAAAAGGGCAAGGACCTCAAGAGCATTTCAGAAATTGTGCAGGATGGCAACAAGTTCAAGTTCACTGTGACCACGGGCAGCAAAGTACTGCAAAATGAGTTCACTATTGGAGAGGAGACAGAGATGGAGATGCTGACGGGACAGAAGGTCAAGGTAGGCCATTGGCTCTCTCTTTGTCTAGAGCTCGGGCCTGTGGGTCACCAAGCACCTCCTGTGGGTGCTGAGGCCCCTGTGAGAGGCACCCTGCCCTTTCTGGATCCTGCCCTTTCACAACCTCTCAGGGACGCTACCTGCTGATAACAACACACCCCTTACAAAGGCTTTCTTTCTTAGCATTTCACAGGGTAGACCGATAGGAGTTTGTTCCCCTTTCATTTAACACCGGTGAGTCCCACATTTGCTCATCCAAAAGCTACACTGGGAATGGACCTGGAGACCTGCCAGCTGGTGTGTTAAATTCTCTGATAGTTAGATAGGAAGAACTGCACCCATTTCTGCTGGTGGAGAATTTGGCCTCTTGTCTTTAACAGAGACCTATGGCCATCAGCAATTAGGTCTGAGGATCCAGAAAAGCCTGGTTCCTAGTCATGCCGTTCACTTCTCCCTGGCTTCTCCTGGGAGTAAGACGTCTCACTGTCACAAGACACTTAGTTGCAGCTCATCAATCAGCCCATTGGAAAATCAGACCCAGGATGTCTGAAATTACACACACAAAATAAGAGACACCATACAAAATGCGGGATGCAAGATAGGAAGGTACCTTTGAAAGCATTCTGACAACCCATTTTCATTTATTAAAAGGTGATGATGAAATGCCACACAAACAATTCAGTCATAAAACCATTAACCTGCCCTCTTAATCAGGTAGTATGGACCCATTCTGCATCTCCGCTAAGAGCTACAGCTTCTTTTCTTGTTTGCTTTGGGTGGATAGTCCTTAAGCTGGATAACTCCCATTCCTGACAAGGAAGGGACAATTACAGTGGTTCACTAGACATAAAGATTCTTGCAATAGCGAAATCTACCTTTCACCTTTCTCTGTCTCCGTAGTTGGTGATTTTATGGGGAGTTTCAAAAGCTGCAGTAAAAGTAGCAAATCTCTATGCTCCATATAAATATGTCACTGATAACTTCCATATACTGAGGACAGAGACATGGCCGTCTGCTTCAAAGCACAGGACACTGCCATTTGAGCTCAAAATTGTCTGCAAGTGTTGCTATAGTAAAATCTTTATTTTCCATTAATCCAGCAGGTGATGCACTGATTTCCCACTGAAGGGGTTTACTTATGGAATATCAGCTCTCAGTGGTGTTATATTATCTAATGGCATATACTAAGGGGTTACTTAAGCAAGTCCTATGAAACACAGACACATTTCTTTTTTAAATGTGCCATTATCTCTGTTTCGTTGGATTTATTCAAGCTTAATTCCTAGGCTTCTGTAACCCCAGTCTCACATTATACTACATCTTTTCTGCCAACAAAAGTTATTTAACAGTGTAATGTGCAATGAGAATGTCTCTAACCTAAAGGTACATTCAGAAGTCTACCTTACAAAGTAGGTAATAAGAATGCAAGCGGGGGGTGGAATAAAAAGAACAATGTAGAATGATTGTCTCTGGGGACCTAGATGGCTGGCGGTGGGCAATGATGCCAACTGTTTGCCTGCAACACTGGTTTGGATCCACTGGAGGTAGGTAATAGCTTAAAGTGGCTGCTTTTTCTTGTTTTTATTTAGGTTACATTGGCATCCAGAGGCCTCAAATAGGAGTCAGAGGGCATGACTACATGAGATATTCACTGCGTGGTAGACTAATTAGCTCCACAGTAAACATCTCAGCATCTACACATGAACCCCTATTAGGCTGGACTAAACAAATTTAATCCTCAGTAGGATAGTACTTGTAGACACAAGAACTATTCTGCTGCAGAGTAAAAAACTCCACAGTACCGAAAGTGAAGATGCTGCCCCAGCTGGCTGGGGCACAAAGGTGCTTCAGTGCCGGCTATCCCTGTACTGAAGCACCCTCATGCCCCAGCCAGTCCTTCTGCAGCACATTGAACTAGGGGGAGCAGCCCCAGGCTAGCAGGCTGACCCCCTCAGCTGGGGCTGCTCCGGTCCAGCTCAGCATGCTCAGTCCCAGGTGCATGTGAAGACATGGCTCCAGGGGGCAATAAACTCCAGAGAAATAAGCTCCAGAGTTTATTCATGCACATTAATTGCATGTGTAGATGTGCCTAGGGAGAAGCATCTAATAAAAAGCCCCTTCCCTGAAGGGTGTACAGCCTAAGTATATAAAGCAAGAGACAACAAGTAAAGACAAGAAACAGAGGGGGAATGGCTGGAAGGCCTGGACTGTAATGGAGTCTTTACACCAGTCCCCAAAGGAGTGAATCATTAGACAGGCACATGAGCTGGCAAAATAGATCGAATCTGTTTTTTATGCAACAGGTGATAATGTTCATGTCTCCCTTTCTTTTCCCCTTTCCTCAACAGACCATTGTTCATCTGGAAGGGAACAACAAGCTGGTTGCAGAGCTGAAAGGACTCAAATCTGTCACTGAAATTAATGGAGATACTCTCACTAGTGTAAGTTCATGACAGTATTGGAAAAATATCATTGCTTACAGCATGTGATGAATACCCTTGGAGTTCCTTATGGAGCTTGTTAGAGCAAATAGCTAACAAAAAGTATTGACATAGAGGATTGGTTTATACATTAAGTCAGATTGCTTGCTTAGTTCTACTGACCTCAGTGGAGCTATGTTGATTAACAGCCACTTAAAATCTGGCCAATGACGTATAATACTGTAAAATAATTCATTATTCTATAGCTATGCTTGGTGTATGCGTGTGGTTTCATTAATGGCCAGCTTCTACAAGGTGCTCTTAAAAAGGTATCCATCAAGTGATCATCGAAGGCATAATGTATATTGTAAACACACTGCACGACCTATATAATACACCATCATCATCAAAGGACAACAGAGACACTGAAAAGTGTGAATCATCAAAGTTTCATGTAAATGAAGAATGGCTTTTGTCATAATTACCAGAAGCAGTGGGACATAAGCCTGTTTCAGAAAAAGGGAGGCTCAGCTGAATGATTTCAGGAAAGGCAGAGCTAAACTGTATGCTCTTATTTTAGAATATTTTAATCTACTACAACATTATTATGCAATTCAAATCAAATATGTTGTACCTGGCCTAGACCTGCAGGGCATAGTCTGGTTTGCAGGACAAGGTCCTTTTCACTAGTTTAACAAGAGATTGAAGCTTTGTGTTTTGCATTTCTTTGTTTTTTAGACACTCACCAAGGGAGACATCAGCTACAAAAGAATCAGCAAGAGACTCTAGATGCCCTTTGTGTTTCTATCCTTTTACTGTGCAAAATGTATCCAGTAAAGTGTAATTTGTATTAAAGCCCCTTTGTCATTGTTTTAATTAGCATCTCATTTATCACGACATCTATTTTTTGTTCGTTCATTCAATGTATATACCGCCCGTCCTCAGAAGAGCTCAGGAGAACGTGCAGTAAGAAAACAAAATTGCTTAAAAAAACAGGAGAGGCCCAAGAGAACCAAAACAACTTAAAAGGAAATTAGTATATCAATATAAAACAGAGACATCCTAAACAGCATCTCATCTCAGCTTTGTTTAGCAAATGCCTGCTCCATTAGGAAATTCTTACAATGCTTCTGAAAGATGTCCAGGTTCAGGCTCCGAGCCTCAACAGGGAGGGATTTCCAGAGCTGAGGAGCAACAGTGGAGGATGACCTCCCATACATCTTTGCCAAGCAGACTTGGTAGTAGTAGAAGATTGCTGTCAGCTGACCTTAGGGATCATGCTGGGCCATAAGGGAGAAGGCAATCCCTTCAGTATGTAGGGCCCAGACTCTTTATGGCCTTATAGGTCAAAACCAGATCCTTGAATTGCACCCTACTGGGAGCTATTGCAGACCCTGGAGCGTTGGGGTTAGGTGTTCCTGGTGACCACCCCTGTCAGAAGGCAAGCTACCACATTCTGCACCAGCTGCAGATTTCAGATGGTCTTCAAGGCCAGCCCCATGTACAGAGCATTTCAGTAGCCCAGCCTTGAGGTTACAAAGGCATGGATGATGGTGGCCAGGTCAGAGTCTGAAAGAAAGGGTCTCAGACTTCTCACCAGATAGATTTGTTGAAAGGCACTCCTAGCCACAGCCAATTCCTGAAGATCCAGGTGCAGCAGAGGATCCAGGAGATCCCAAGATGTGAGCCTGAGTGACAAGGCAAGGTTGAATTCCACCAGTGATAAGTAACTCAGTCCCGCCCCTCACTCCCCACCCCCCCACCCCCCAAGTCAAGTGGTCTTTGCATGGGTATATTGCAATTCAAACACATATACAGGCAATAGAAATTGTCTCAGCCACTGCCCCAACTGGAAGGTGTTAGGTAGCAATATCAACAGAGCAGTCACAACGTGAAAGGGCAGCAGTGCCCAGATTAGCCTCCTGCTTGAAAATGGTGCATCCTGGTCTGAGCTGATGCCTACTGCTGCTGCTCACTGCTTCTGCTTCTGTAGGTAAATACAAGACTATCCCCTGGCAATGTCAAGCCAGCATCTTCCACATAAAATAGGCATCCATAGGTGTACACAGAGATACTAATCTAGTGCCTGGCTATTTTAACAGTCTACCTGTCACACCCACAAGCACTGTTCTTCTACCAGGGTGGATGGAACTGTGTTGCTTAATGTTGCAGGGACAAGTGCAAAATCCTGCACTTAGGATGGAAAAATCCCATGCACTGGTACAGGCTGGGGACCAACTGGCTAAGCAGCAGCTCTGCAGAAAAGGACCTGGGGGTTACAGTAAGTTGAATATCGCCAACAATGAGCCCTTGTTGCCAAAAAAGCTAACAGCATCCTGGGCTACATTAGTAGAAGCATTGCTGGCAGATTGTGGGAAGTGATTATTCTCCTCTATTCAGCACCGGTGAGGCCACATCTGGAGTACTGTGTCCAGTTTAGGGCCCTCCACTGCAGAAAGGGTAGGGACAAATTGGCATGAGTCCAGTGGAGGGCAACAAAAATGGTTAGAGGGCTGGGGATATGACTTCTGAGGAGATGCAGAGGAAACTGGGCTTATTTAGTCTATAGAAGAGAAAGCTGAGTGAGGGGGTGGGGGGATTTAATAGCAGTCTTCGACTACCTGCAGGGGAGTTACAAAGAGGATGGAACTGAACTGGTCTCAGTGGGGGCAGATGACAGAACAAGGAGCAATGGTCTCATGTTGCAGCAAGGGAAGTTGAGGTTAGATATTAGGAAAACCTTTCTCCTGAGGAGGGTAGTAAAACACTGGCACAGGTTACCCAGAGAGGTGTTGGAATCTCCATCCTTGGAGGTTTTTAAGACCTGGCTAGAAAAAGCCATGCCTGGAATGATCTAGTTGGGGCAGGTCCTGCTTTGTGCAGAGGGTTGGACTAGATGACTTCCTGCGGTCTCTTCCAGCTCTCATTTTCTATGACTCTATGGAGGAGTCTCGCCAGTATTAATGAGTGTGTTCAGAGACTTTACCTGGATGCCTAATGGGGTAAAAGCAGTAATGGCTGCTCTCAGTCTCCAGTTGTGGGAGCTGACTCTCTGATTAAGATAGGGTTTCCAAAATGGCTTAATGCTGAACATACCTCCAGGCAAACCCCTTCCCGCCTCTTAGAAACAGTTACATACCTTCACCTTGCAGCTCTACCATTTGCTTTAAAGCCCTTCCAGACTTAATGCAAACATCTTCCATAACCACTCTCCCCTCACTAGTCTTTTTCATGCCCCAAAAGGCAACAGCTCACACCTGGGGAAATGTTGGTATAGACCCTCAGCACATGGTACTCCCTTACGTGCTTCGATGGGCCTCGAAACAGTTAACAATGTCAATATTTCAAATTTTTCCTCTGGCAACGGCCTTTGTCATGTGTTAAAAGGAATTCAATAGTTCAGAGCTAGCTTCAGACTCTGCAAACTCAGGCGGATCAATCCGCCTCAGCTACACGTTTCTGAGATCTTCTTTGCAACTACAGCAGCTAGAAATACAAAAAGCAAATGCTGAGTTTAGGAAAACAATCGAGATGTCTGTACATGTTCCCCATATTTGAACTTTTATGCCTCTCACTTCCTAAGAGGAATATCTCCCACCTTTGAAAGCATCGTATTACCTTGAAGGTAGTCAATAATACAGCATGGACTTATTCTTTAAAATCTCATTATTCTTTCAAAGGCATTGTCTTCAAATTGCTTGTAAAGTTCATACCTTCTCTGATCCAACTTTCTGATCCCTAGTATCTTTATCTGGTATCTAATTGGCTTAGCTTTTCCTGACCCTAGCCCAAAGGAATATCAGCTCTGGCAACCAGAAATTGTTTTATTTTTTTACTAGCTCTCTTTGGAGCCGGCATAATAAAACAATTAGCATTACACGTAGCGCTTTTAATCTTCTGCATATTGCACAACTATTAGCTAATTCACTCTCCCAACACCTTTATACAATCGGTAAATATAATCATCCTCTTGGTCAAGACAAAGAAGTGGCAAGGGCAGGGTTTAAACTCAGGAGTTGCTCACTGCTGACATCAGGGATATGAGGTAAGACTTCTGTTCCCAAGCTCTACTTGATTCATGTTTCACATGAGCCTTCTAACAAGAGGAGAATTATTCCTTTCACCTCCCTTTTGCCATGGGGAAAACTCATATCATGTTTGATTAAAATATGAATTTCTGCTGATTGTGCTGGTGGTTGGAGTTGGTTCCCACAGCTCTAATAACAGTATCAGTTACTTTTAGGATACTCTTCTACATAGTCCCAGAAACCTCATGGCTAGTCAGGCAGAGGACTATATCTGTGTCTGATACTAGAGGTACATGGAAGGAATGATCTGCAGAGACATGCTAACAGAGGCCAAGGTTGCCTGTAAATAGCATATACTTTCAGTCACCAGGTGCCTATACAAGTGGCGATTTTTGCCATTAAAAGCATTCTAAAGCTATCACTTAATACATACGGGTGACTTAAGAATTTTCCAAAATGACCAAAGTCGCCTCAATTAAACGTCTTTGTATGTGTTTTAAATGTAAACTTCAGTATTGTGCCTCAGCCTGCCTAGTTCGCCTTTATTGCACATGTATTTAACTGGGGCTTCCCCACGGCCTCAGGCTGCATTGTGCAGCATCCGGTGCCCCCTGTCTTACTCTACAGCACAACAGCAAGGCACAAATTCAGACCAAGCCATGGAACATCTATTAAGTCTTAAGGTGCTGCACCTAGAGCGCTCTAAGTACAGCACAAAAGTTACAGCAACTTTGGAAATGCCTGCCCTGCATGTGTATAGGCATCCCAAATTCTGAAGTAAACCTATTAGCTCTCCCAGATGAGCAGTGCTATGGCTAGCAGAGGGTAGTAGAATAGACAGACACAGCCTACGTTACCACTTAGCATTGGGCAACATAGGGACAAGAGGAAAGAACTTGGGGAATCTATACACATGACAGAGCTCTGCTCCGATGCGTGCGAATTAGCACACGTCAGAGCAGACTGCAATTCATCGAGTCTGCTGTGAGTTTGCCAGAGAGTGCTAATTAGTGCACGCCAACAGCCTCCATGTCATGTGTATTCAGCATCCCTGTGTTTCAAAATGACAACGGAAGTGCTTTAACTAAAGCTCGTTCAAACTATAAACACTGGAGCCCATCATAGCTGAACATAGAGCACAATGTTCTCCAAAAAGCCAAGCTCTCTCTCAACCCAGTCCGTATCTGTGCCCAGCACCTCCCTCGCAATGATCCTGCAAAAGCTTCTATCTCCCAGTGTTCAAGTCATCATCTGTAGGACACTTGCTCTGAGCCCTCCAGCCCTGCTAATAACATCAATAGTTGTACACGATAGTGATAGGCAAGAAATGCTCATGCTCCAGGATGTGAGATGTGGTGTTAGGGGTCAGGAAGGAATTTCATCCTCTTGAATCATCAGGGATTGGTCAGACTGGAGGCCAGATACCAAACACCATCAACCGATAGCAACAGCAAGGCACAAATTTGGACTAAACCATGGAACATCTATTAAGTCTTAGGATCTTGGAATCTCTATTGTTTCCATGATGAACATGGGGCACCGATGTGGGGATGCGGTCAGGAAGGCTAACCACACCTTGTCGTGCATCCATAGATGCATCACGAGCAGGTCCAAGGAGGTGATCCTCCCCCTCTATGTGACACTGGTCAGGCCGCAGTTGGAGTACTGCGTCCAGTTCTGGGCACTGCACTTTAGGAGGGATGTGGACAGCCTTGAGGGGGTCCAGAGGAGGACCACTTGCATGATGAGGGGGCACAGGGCAGGCCCTACGAGCGGAGGCTATGGGACCTGAACCTATTCAGCCTCTACAAGAGAAGGCTGAGAGGGGATCTGGTGGCCGTCTACAAACTG